GGGGCTAATGATATATATATATATATACATATATATATATATATATATATATATATATATATATATATATATATATATATATATATATATATATATATATATATATATATATATATATATATATATATATATATATATATATATATATATATATATATATATATATATATATATATATATATATATATATATATATATATATATATATATATATATATATATATATATATATATATATATATATATATATATATATATATATATATATATATATATATATATATATATATATATATATATATATATATATATATATATATATATATATATATATATATATATATATATATATATATATATATATATATATATATATATATATATTTATATGCTCCAGCATATTGTGTTTTCAGGTGCCCTCATTTGCATGTTATCACATGCTTTGTGATGTGTTGAGCACAGCTTTCTAGGAGACTGTCCTCTGCCTTGCTGGGCTTCGCTGTGAGTGTATTGGGCAACCGGGGAGCTGTCCATATCTCACATAGGTGGATCTCGAACACGAAATGATGAAAGAGAACAATAGGTTACTGTTTGTAACCCCGGTTCTCTGTAAAATTGAGTGGAGAGATCCACTAAGTGTGCCCCGCTTGCTGCACGAGAAGTGAATATGCTCACTGAGGAATAGCAGCGTGTGCAGAATGATTTATGCGCACAGGTAAAGGGGCGGTCCCTTACCTGCCATTGGGCACGCGCTTCTGTCTGTCAAGCCAGACTGGGTGCAATTGGATGCTTCTGCAGAGGTCAAGCACGGATGCCTTCCCATAGGTGGATCTCCCCGCTCGATGTTTCAGAGAACTGGGGTTACAAACAGTAACCTATTGACATTGACCCCTGACTGTGTTTACATTTACATTATAGCTTCAGAATACACACAACACATCTCTGGCGGTCTCTATTGTGGAGTTTAATTATAGTTTAGCCTAGATAATATATGGGTTACTCTGGAGATTTATATTAGAGAGCTCACTCACCCGTAGGTAAACCTCCATCACTTTAGTTGTTTTTAGCAAGACGTCTACTCTGTGTGTTTTGTTTTTTTCCTAAAGCAGAGCTGAAACCTCAGGATCCACAAAGGAAAAACCCAGCAGGAACAACTAAAGGTGGAGCAGTGTTTATCTCACATCACTCACAATACTAGAGTTATAGTGTGTGTTGATGAGTTATTAAACTGATGTTCTGCTGCTGTATGATTCATATTCACCTTCATCTTTTACAGCTGAAGCTAAAACAACAGCAGCAGCAGTAACTGCAGTTCACAAACCAAACACAGCAGCGAAAAAACCACCAGGAGCTGCTTCAACAGGTCTGAACACTCTCACATCAGTGCTTTATTAAAAATTTAGTGCGTTATTGTGAGTATTTTTGAGGTATCTGGGGCCTCATGTATCAAAGCTGCGTACGCACAAAAACTTTGCGTACACCAGGTTTCACGCTCAGAATCGCTCACGTTTGGATTTACTACCGATGAACTGAACGTGGCAATGACCACATGACTCCACAGCTGGCGTACGCACATTTTTTTGTGCGTGTCTGTTTTATTTCCATTGGCGACTCCTAGAGGCAGTTGTGTTAAATTGCACTCTACAAAGTGTCTTCTCAGCTGTATGGGAAGGGTTCATTCGCATGTCTAGTATATAAGGTTTCCGTACCATACAGTTGACCATCCAAACATTAAAGCACAATTTGCAGCAGTCGCCTGTTTTCCCAATGTAATCTGAGCAATCTACTGCACGCACATTGCTATAAAGAAACTATCTGAAGATGAATTTGCATGCGTGAATCAGAAACATTTCCATTCAATAAATGTGCAAATAAAATATGATGCACAAACTTATTGATGATTCCTACTTGTCTTCCTTGTGATGAAGAGTATAGGCAAAATCTGATATGTAGTGGGGGAAAAAAAAAAGAAAGTTCATCAGCCGCTGGATTCGAACCGAGTTCATGCTTGAACGTGTGCAGACATATTGCCATGCATTCACTAAGTGCGATGTTCAGACCCAACTGTGTTAACCGCATCAGCTAAACTCTCGCACTCTATTTTTTTTCTTTTGTTGTTAATTCCGGAGAACAAACTTGCAAATAACACCGCTTTTCTCCGGTCTACCTCCGAAAGCAGCACCTCCAGTTCACATTCTGTTCAAAGTTTCTCTTCTTGTTTTGCCATTGCTTTTTCAATGGGTTTTGCAAAAGTAGCGTCATTAGCATATTCATACGGGGGAGGAGGCAGGGAGGGGTTTTGTGCTTGTGCACGTTGCGCTCAGTTTCACGTACATTCAGATGTACAAAAGAATATGCGTGAGATTCGGCGTACGCAATGTTTTAGTAAGATTTCCACGCAAGTCTTCGTACATGAGGCCCCTGGAGTGTTTTTGAGTGATTAAACTATGAATAACCTACATCCATAAACCTCCACCCAGGGCTTAAAAACTGAAAAAATCCATTCGGTTCGATATGAGCAGAATTAATATTCTTTTCATTACTGTTGTTGTAAAATGTGTGAGTCCTTTAAACGGCGGGGCTGCAGTGTTTGTGTGTGTGTGTGTGTGTGTGTGTGTGTGAGAAACGGAGGGAGAGAGAGTGAGAGAGGAGCGGTTTTTCGTAATGAGACAGTTTTTCACTGATGTTCCCTCTTTAGTGTCTGATTTAGTTGTACCACACAGATAGTAATAAAGAATTGGACCAAGTTACATGTGTCCTCGTTCATTCACCGGCTGCAACAAAAGGAGGAGGGAGTTAACCCCAAAACTAAAATTCTTCGACCCTGGAGTAATAAGTGAATCTCCCCTGCTATCTTTAACACAGAAAAGGGACAGAGCAGGAAAGGTGAACACTGTTTTTGCGTTCCTTATTAGACAAAACACTCCAAAAACGGTTTCTAAAAAAAAAAAAATACTGGTTAATATACTGGTCTCCAGCCTCCAGCACCTTAACTGCAGCTCTGCACAAGACGTTTGGCCAGTGGAGAAATGGTTGTGCCCAACTGTGCCTGGTTTCTCTTCAGGTTTTATAATTAGATTTTTCGACAATTGGTGAAGTTTTTTTCTCACCACTGTCGCCACTGGCTTGCATGGTTCAGGATCTGTAGAGCAGTGCCGCTGGGTGTCGCTGGGGCACTTTAGATCATTTGGGAAGGGCACTTTCTATTTAAGACTAAAAAGGGCATGTGCACTGCTCAGGTTGAGCCCTATGTGTGCATGAGCCTGCTTTATAATAAGGCTGTATTATTTAACCTTAGTTAGTGCATTAGTTTACATGATTTAACTATGAGCAACACATCTGTTATGCATTATTTAGTCTTTGTTAATATTTAACTAAACTTATAAAACATTAATGCAGTTTCGGTATTAAACAATAACTTCATTCATAATTACATAATCTTTACCATTTTTTATGCCTAATATCTGAAGTAAAAAAATGCAGGCCTAAGAGTTAACCAGTTCAATATACATTTACATTTTTAAAAGTAAATTATATAAAATAACTCTAAATAATACATGCTATCCACTGACATGTATTGTACCACTAAAGTACCAATAAATCTAAAGTGTCACGACAAATCAATTTAAAAATGATGTAGACCTACATGTACATGCCAGTAATGTTAGTAATCTTGTGACATGTGCCAGTAGGTAAACCTCCATCACCTAAGTATTATTATTTAGCAGGACATCTACTCTGTGTATTGTGTTTTGTCTTACAGCTCCAGATCCTAAAGCAGAGCCGAAACCACAAACAGAAACACCAGCAGAGACAACTAAAGGTTATAGTGTGTGTTGATGAGTTATTAAACTTTCTGCTGCAATATGATTCATATTCACCTTCATCTTTTACAGCTAAAGCTCAAACAACAACAACAGCAACAACAGCAACAACAACAGCAGCAGCAGCAGCAGTGACTCCAGACCACAACACAAACACAAAAAAAACCAGCAGGAGCTGCTTCACCAGGTCTGAACACTGTCTGACAGACATCAGTGCTTTATTATGAGTTATTATAAGTATTTATGAGTTTATTATGCTTTATTACGAGTTATCTGTAGTGTTTTTGACTAATTAAATTATGAACGACTGTCATATCTGACTCTATAATATAATTGACAAACACAACAATAAAACCACATCCTATAACAGGTGCAGTAGATGATGATGATGCAATTGCTGATGTAATTGATGATGTCACTCTCATAATAGTTTTGTCTGCTTTTACACAAAATATGTGCAATGAGAGTCTTTTACAGCAAGGATATTAACAATATAGATGAAGATACTGATACTGTTTACATTCAGAATAAGATTTACAGAGAGAGAGAGAGAGAGAGTTGACTGTAAATGCATCACTGAGGACATCTGCTGGCCACAAGTGGAAGAATCCAGTAAAAAAAGGGTTTGCTGCTGCTGCTGATCAGCCAATCAAAATGCAGCGTTCATCATCATCTTCATCCTCATCCTCCTCATCCTCCCAGTGTGAATAATACCTAAGTTTAGAGTCAGAGGCAGGTCTAGTCCAAATCATCATCATCATCATCATCATCCTCAGCATCTTCAGTGTTCAGTGTTGAGTTAGTGTGTTGTAGTCCTGAATGCTCTTTATCTGACTGAGTGCTTCTGTTGTTCAGTGCTTTCAGTTCTGCTTTCTGCTGCTGCTTTGGCTGTTTTCATCGCTGCTGTTCTGTGTTTGATCCAGCGCAGAAGAAGAGCTGGTGAGTCTCACATTTACTCCAATTACAAACACTAATAAAGAAGTGATTTCCACATTTACTTTGACTGCAGACAATACAACAGCACATTTACCCAACAGAGTCTGTATGTAGACACGATGCAGTCTCAGACCGATGCAATCTCGGGGCTTGCATGCGCATTTATGTCGATGCAATCTCAAGCCTGGTTTATACTTCTGCGTTAAGTGACCGGCGTAACACGATGCATGCAACGCGCGCAGCTGTGGATTTATACTTCTGCGCGCTGTCTCTGTTGGTCTGCATTAACACTTCTGAAACGCTAGTTGGCAGTGAGGTGTAAATAGCCGCATTTCCACTATCGCGCCTAAAGCGAGCGAGCCAGGGCGAGCCAAGGCCAGTGGGGTTTCCAATGTCACTTCCGGGGCCTAATCGGGCCAAAGCGGAGCTTTCTTGGGGCCAGTGGCCGGCCTTTTTCGGCCCGCCGAATACCTTGGGCCAAAGAGGGCCAGCCGGGGCTTCGGGGCCGAGTTTAAGGAGAGGCGGGTACAGTTTTCCGATCGCACATGAGTACATGCGCCAAACACATAACAAATAAATAAATAAATAAGAGAAAGAAAACATCTGGAACAAATTATAGGTTGGGGTCTTTTTTGCATATGATCGCCCTTATGTTTCTCTTTTAAATGTAAGGTTGTTGCATAAAATGATAGTTTTAATAAGTCACTTTTCTTTGCTGCATCTCTTTGATGTTTCAGTAACGCATAATAATCTTTACACCATATTAAAGACACGGCAGACAGTAAAGGATTTCAAGAGGTTTTGTTAAGTTTAATAAGTGTTTTTGCGCGTTTAGATGTCTGTGTATGTGTGTGAGAGTGAGGAAAAGAGCGCTCCATTCATAGCTCTGTTGTTGCCGCGAGCGGCTTTTTTCTTTTCTTTTTATTGTTTTAATTTATTTCGGAGATAATACACTATATGAATACAACAGTAGGACATTAAACTTTACAAATTTCATGTCCGCTTTTGTAGGATCAAAACAATAGTGTCATATCTAGATAAAATAGCCTAAGCTATATTTAAATAATTTAAAGAATTACAAATATCAGATAGGCCTATAATAAAATCACATTAAATAAATAAACCAATATAAAACTAACAAAAGCTATAGCTATAACAATTAGGTACTATATCAAACTGTTTCAAATTTATATTAAACTTTCATTTTTCAAAAGCCTCTTTGAAAAAAAGATTTTAGATATTTTCTAAAAAATAAATAAATAAATAAACACCGAAAAATGTTTTAAATATTATTTATAAAGTATTTGGATACGATGAAATTAATCAAATCATGCAAACAGAGCATTTTCGGGGTGAGTGAAAGCAGAAATAGGCGACCTTTTTTTCTGTCTGCAGCTGCGCAGCACTGTACAGACGCATCGGGGAAAACTGCAAATTCAAAATGTGTTCTGTGTCCTCAAACAAGTGTGTATGTTTTTATATGACGTGGTAAAATTAAAACAGGAAATTTAAAATACATAAAGAGCTTTATTAGTGCATAGCTGCTGAGCGCAACGAAATATAGGCTGTATTTTATTACGTGCTGCTCTTATGTGCTGAAACACTGAACACTTTCCTTTACTTAAGATATAATAAGCAACATCTTTAAATAAGGGGAATCAACTAACTTAGTGTGATGAAGCCCATAGGGAAAAGTTCATGTTTCAGTTCTCTCCGGAGCATTTGGGATGAATGTTGGACAGATTCTGTCTAGAGGATGTTATAAAATACATTTTATATCGAGTTATTAACGGAGAATTTTATAGCCTATATGTGGTGTTATATTATGGATGTGTGCGCTCCCTGCGCTCCGGGTCCCTCTGTTGGTGGCAAGACCACTGGATTTCGATGCCAATAGTCGGTCGGCGAGTAAATGAATATGATGAATGAAAACACACAGGCATGTGCGTATAGACATGCGTTGTACTGCTGTACAGTAACGTGTCATTTGTTTGTTTTTGTTGTCCTATTTTAATAGTTTTGTGATGATGTGATGGTGTGCTTTATCTGCATGATTCTCGCTGAAGTGGGCGGTTTGAGTGACGTTCGATTTGGGGGATGTTCTGGGGGCGGGGTTTGCTGACGAGCTGCAAGCTACTAGCCCCACAGTGGAAACGCGACATGATTTCGGCCTCACTGCTCAACCTCCCAGGCGATTGGCCCTGCCTGGCCCGATATAAGCCCTGGCTCGCACTGGCCTGATAGTGGAAATGCGGCTAATGTTCCTCTGTGTCGAGTTTCTTCGCTGCTGTTTTGTTTTTTCTGAACACTTCCAGGATGTACAAGTGGCTCAAACTCGCTCATTTAGAGGCAGGAACCGTCAAACGTGCAACAACTTTAACTATGAGGTAAACACAAAACAAAACTTTCCATCCTGAGCTCCTTCACGAGACTCCACACTTGTAAACAATCGCTACATTGTGCACGCGTCCAGCTCGCGCCATTTGCGCGGCTCTCGGTCCCGCCCAGACTCGTCATCGCTACCAAGCCGACCAATCACAGACCTTGCGCTACGCGTTGTTGCGACGTGTAGTAAAGCCTGGTTTATACTTCTGCGTCAAGTGACCGGCGTAACTCATGGCGCATGCAACGCGCGTGGCTGTGCATTTATACTTCTGCTGCTGTCTCTGTTGGTCTGCATTAACACTTCCGAAACGCTAGTTGGCAGTGAGGTGTAAATGTTCCTCTGTGTCGAGTTTCTTCTCTGCTGTTTTGCTTTTCCTGAACACTTCCGGGATGTACAAGTGACTCAAACTCCAGCTCAAAGGAACCGGTGGACGTGCAACAACTTTAACTATGAGGTAAATACAAAACAAAACTTTCCATCAGGAGCTCCTTCACGGGACTCCACACTTGTAAACAATCGCTCGCGTCATTCACGCGGCTCTCGGTCCTGCCCAGACTCATCAGCGCTACCAAGCCGACCAATCACAGAGCTTAAGCTACGCGTTGTTGCAACGTGTAGTTACATTTTTTGAGAGGTGCACGTCAGTGACGCCGACGGCCACGGCGAAGGGCTATGCGTCAGCGCCGTAGCATACGCTGGCGTTTGACGCAGAAGTAAAAATCAGCCTTCAGCCGCTCACGCGCATTTGAACACGTGTATTCTCATGCATGCGCACGTTGTGGCGGGTCAAAGACGGAAATACGCCAAAATACTGTTTGCAATCTAAAAGTACGACAGACATAAGAACTACCTATGTATCTATTGACCTTATTCTCCGCAGACGAGTGGGTGCAGCCATTTGAATCTTTTTGGTACGAGACTTCCGGTCTCATCCACTTCCATTCATTTTTTGACGTTAAAAACTGCTCATTTCGCTGTTTGATGTTGCAATTTGATATTTTCTTATTGTATTATTCTACTTGGTCTGTGTAGTCATGCAAACATTTGTTTGTAGAGCAAGTAGTTTGACCGTTTTCTGCCGTTTATTATTCCTAGTCATTTCTCCCATAGGCGACTGAATTGGAAGTTCTAAAACAATCGCGAAAACAGACGCACTTCCGCATTTTACAATAAGGTCAATACACATAATTATGTCACAAGGTAGCCTGTCAACTCCTACTATAAAAGAAAAGATTCGGATCGCGGCCAGGATTTTATTTAAAATAATAGCTGATAGGCATTTCTAATATTGTGCTAATAACTTCATCACTTCACACGTCTAAAATGTGTTTATATTGGCAAAATGCATGACATGTTATTGTTAATGCACTATTAATAAAACATGTCTACACATTTCTCCCACATAAAAAAATATTTATAAAGACACGTTATAGTGCTTTACCATTTCAGTAGTACAGTAATATACCATTTATATTACAGTATTTAAAACTTTTATGAAAATACATGCTACAACTAAAAATATTTTAGTTGACTTAGTTTTATTAATTACATTGAACTCGAAGAAACACCCATTTAGGCTATATTCCTTTATTGCAAAATAAACAGACATATAAACTGTATGACCTAATAAATGATTATCAAGGACCTGTTTATATTCCTTTTTGCAGAAATAAAACGCAATAAATATATTTGAAACTTTCAAATAAAGAATTATATTCATAATGATTTCTAATCAGAGTGCAGTGGATAGCACATTCGCCTCACAGCAAGAAGGTCACTGGTTCAAGCCTCGGCTTGGTCAGTTGGTGTTTCTGTGTGGTACAAACACATGTGGTACAGGTGAAATGGGTAAACTAAATTGTCCTTAGTGTATGAGTGTGTGTGTGAATGAGTGTGTATGGATGTTTTCCAGTGATGGGTTGCAGCTGAAAGGGCATCGCCTGTGTAAAAACATATGCTGAATAAGTTGGCAGTTCATTCCGCTGTGGCGACCCCAGATTAATAAAGTGACTAAGCCAAAAAGAAAAAGAATGATTTATAAGGATTTATAATGCTTCTGTTCAATAAATGCTAATATGTTTCCATAACTGTGAAGTAGCCGGGCTTCTTCCCTTTATCTCTGGCGACCGCACTGGTTCACACACACCCACAGACGCTCAAAGACAAGCACATACATACGCACATACATATGTCTACTCACCTCTCCTTTTCCTCTCAGTATGCTGCTAGTGACAAAGGGCCCTGTCATCTCGCACGCATCCAGTCATCCATTCCATATCTCCATTTTCCCGCAGGTTAACATTAAGCATACATTTACACACACCTTTGTGTTAGTGTCTTTGTGTTTTTGTTTCGTCATTTGTCCGGGAAAGTTGGTCTTCAGTGCTGTGCCGGCCAAACCGAGCGAGCGAATGGCAGCACCAATCACAGAAGCGCCAACCGTACCAATTGTTTGTGTTTGTAGGGTACAGCCAGCGTTGTAGCGGAGCGATTTATATGTCATTAAACCTCTGATTGTTGGTTGTTTTATGTATGTATGTCAGATATTATTAGTAGCTGTGTGCTTTTATATTTAGGGATGCCACATTTAAATGTTTAATAGTGTGATGTAGACATATACCTGAATTTACCTGTTTATGGTATGCTCCAAAAAGGGGGCGGAGTCTAGCCTTTAAAATGAGACGGCAGACTTGTAAGCAATCCCCTTTACCAATCTAGACATAGATTTCTCACTTATATATATTGTAGATATATTGTTTTGTGTTGTATATATCGTATTTTGTTTTTGTTTTATTGAGTTGTTACTTTGTTTTTTTTTTGTACATACCTTTTGGGAAATAGGTCACTGTACATTTATTTGCACGGGACTGTTTTGCGTTATCCTTGTAAATAAACCATCTTTTTTACACTTCTGGGATAAGGCCATCATTTTTTTGAGAACTCTTTATTTTTTAATTTTTTTGCTGGTGTTGGGCATCCCACACCTGGCAGTGAACCCATTCCGGGTCCACTACACAATTACTCATGGCGGCACGGGAACCATTCTGACACGCACCACTCTGTAGTGCGCACTATCACCGCTCGAAGCTCACAGGGTGCCACAGCAGGTGGCAGTAGTGAGTTTGTGGGTCGCGGGACGTCGCAATAGCACACAGCAGTTGATGTAGATGTGGATGTCTGATTAATCTAGAAGTAAATGTCTGATGAATGTAGAAGTGAACATCTAAGGAGTCAATGCAGATGTGTTATGACTGAGTGATCCACCTGTGAGGAGGATAAATTGAAGAGACAGATGTAAAAATCATATAATTTTAGTATTCCACATATTTCTTGTGTCCATGTATTTATTATTGTATTTTGTTAACAACATTCAAATTACTTTACAACTGTTGTATGACAGTTCCTATAAAGATCCATTTAAAAAATAATGTTAAGTAACACCTAAACAAATTATATAGAGCAGGTCACCTGAAAACTGCCCTGTTACTTTTCAAATCAACACCCCAAAACAGAGCTAGTAAGATATTCATAGTTTTCATTATTGTCTAAACAAATGAATTAAGATACCAAAATATGAAAAACTTGTTTAGATAAATATTTACATGAATTTAACATGAACTGATGGTCACCAATGATATTTACATAAGCTTTTTTTTTAATATTAACATACTCTTAGGGATATTTTAATGTATCCTTTTTTTAATAGCTTAGTTAATGTTTACTTACACATACATTTCTGTACTTGTTTGTGGGTTAGATAACATGACCAAACAATAAACAATGGTTTTCATTGATTTGAGATACAGTAAAATCATTAATTACTGCTTTGTAATAAACCCATAGATGTTAGTAACACATCAGTTATAATGTTGGGTTAGTGGTAAGTCAGCATAAAGTTTACAAATGTAACACGTTGAAGTAGTGTACATTTTACAATAAGGTTCCTAATTCCCTTAACTACAGTAATGCTTTGCTAGTAATCAATCATATTAGAAAAGAGTCTACAAACATGAATAACATGCCAGTTGAATATTGTGAAGTGTTGAACCTGAGCTATTGTTCATTATATGTTCATGTTAACTGCATTAAGTAACACATGTATAAGTTTGCGTTTACAATGATTTAGTATTAATAAATAAATGTGTTGTTCATTGTTTAGTCATGTCATTTAATCAAAGAACAAATACATTAGTCTATGTGAAAGTAAACATTAGCTAATTATGTTAAGCTGTTAATGTAAAGAGTAACACAACAATGAGAAACTTTTTAACTGATGGATATGTTTATTAAACATTAGTAAAGAGTTATTAAGGCTTAACATATGTGTTGTTCATGGTAAATTCTTGTTAACTCATGTATGAACTGACGTTATCTAATGCAGTCTTCCTGTGAATTTTAACCTATTTAATCCCATGAATGAATTAATTTAATGTCAACAAGCTAGCGATCGCTAAAATGTTCACTTTATCTCAAAACACACGGATGACATTGAGGAGCCTCTGTGCAGGATATATCAGACACTTATCACGATCGTTTTTAATAACATTCACCAAATAATTAAAAACAACACATTTAATAACATCGCGAGTGGAATATACTTACAGCACAAGTGTCGGTACCTGAGGCATTTGTCTCAGAGCGAAAGCGTGCCCTCGTGCGCATGTGCGGCTGAGTGCTGTTTGATTGCGCATGTCCGGCTGAGATTGCACCAGTCTAAGACTGCATCGTGTCTGCATCCAGACCCTTCTCCATTTACTGTGTTCCTCTTGATTTTCTTGGCCTTTCCTTTTCACAACACGTAAAAGGTGCTTTAACAGTCAGTGTTTTCTCCTCAATCCTCAGCAGCTCATCAAAGAGCGAGCGGTGAATCAGCGGTGAGTTCAGTAACGCCAGTCATTTAGATGGACTGATTGATTTAGTGTTTTTAAAGCTCAGTAAAGTGTCCCTCATGCAGTGTTTGTTGTGTAAAGGTCAAAGATGAGAATCAAGTCCACTATCAAACAATCCACATGTCCATTAATCCTGCTGCCAGAGCCCATGTGAGTGGCCCAAATCAGTGATTTCTCCACATCTTCAGGCGGATTGAGTGGATTCAGCTTGATTCTGCTCTTCTGCATTGTGTTTAGGAGCAGACGGAGGATTCAGTCACTTATTCTGAGGTCACTTGTGCTGGGAAAAAGCCGGAGAAATCAGCCAGTGTGAGTAGATTCAGCACAATCAGTGTGTGTGTGTGTGTGATGATGATGATGATGATGATGATGAGCTGAATCTGTTTCTCAGGATGATGATGGTAATGACTCAGTGACTTACGCCGCCGTCAGCAGAAGAGCTTAATGTGTGCAGAAGAAGAAAAAGAGCCTTCAGGAATAAAGATCAACACAAACAGGCAGAAATCACAGCAGCATCACTGCAGCATTTCAGGAGCACAAGTTTCCCTCAAATGCGCAGATTCAGGACTTTAGTGTGGAGAATTGGAGAGATTTAGAGCAGAACAAACACAGCTGGAATATTACTGCACTGGAAAGAGGACAAAGCAGCTGTTCTGAAGGAGAGAAAGAAAGAAAGAAAGAAAGATAGAAAGAGAGAAAGAAAGAAAGAAAGAAAGAAAGAAAGAGAGAAAGAAAGAAAGAAAGAGAGAAAGAAAGAGAGAAAGAGAGAAAGAGAGAAAGAAAGAAAGAAAGAAAGAAAGAAAGAAAGAAAGAAAGAAAGAAAGAAAGAAAGAAAGAGAGCAGGAAAATAGGCTGTGTTTGTGGAGGAAAGAGAAGACTGCAGTGGGAGAATTACAGCACTGTCTGTTTGTGTTACAACTTACAATCATCATCTTCATTTGTCTCTTCAACTCATTTGAGGCCCAGTTTTGTCATGTCTTGCTTTATAGAAATGTCTTTTTCATTTGGCACATGATCTCCAACATCATCTCCATGTTTCTAGACTGTATTTGAGCTCCATTCCTTCATGTTGAATCTGCTTTATTTGTGTGCAGGCAGAGATATAAAGCCCTACTTTGCTTTCTACATCACATTAAAAGTACTAAAGTGATCTGATGCTTCTGGAGCAATATTTGACTTCATGTTTGGGGGAATCAAATGTCAAACTAAGAGTCCAATAATGCTTAATTAAAGCTTAATGTGGTGTTGTTCACTTCATCTGTGGATTGAGGCTCGCTCTTTACAGTGTTTACTGTTAATTACAGGTAAAGTGTGACAGAAATGTGGGTTTCTCTGCTTGTTTAGGGACATTAAGACACATGAAGTGTTTTATAATGTCTCCTTTAAATGAGTTAAATGATTGAGCTTGGGTTTGTGTCTTGATTTCAGTTGTGGTTATTGGTTTATAGTAATATGTTGTGTGATTTGTGTTTGTGTATTGGTTATTAAGCTGGACTTGTGATATAAACACTGATGTGAAGCAAATAAATCCTCAATAAAGTGCTTCAGTGACCCTACATTACATCTCTAGATTGTCTTTCATTTCATTTCAGCGCTTTGTGTTTTTCTTTCTGATCATTATGTTGTGACTATTTGAGGGACTTTTATTTTGACACTTCCTGTAGGCCCCATATAAAGAGGAAGGCCTGTGTGATTGTGGAGGGAAACACTGTTTGGACTGGAGCACTAGCTGTGTTTGTGAGCTGTTTCTGGACATCTTTGACTCTTTCTCTTAGACTCTTTTGATGGACGATTCTGTCATGGATTTGAATGGGAATATTGGGGCTTTTGATCATGTTTGGGAGGATTTTTGGACACATTCTTCATTGGTGTTTGAGTAAACTAATCTCCTCAGGCTCTTCACTGGACGTCTTGATGAAGGATTATTGATCAACTCAACTGGACAATCAGGTCAGTTCTGTTGCTTTAGTTGATGACTGTGTGTGTGTGTGTGTGTGTGTGTGTGTGTGTGTGTGTGTGTGTGTGTGTGCGTGTGTGTGTGTGTGTGTGTGTGTGTGTGTGTGTGTGTGTGTGTGTGCAGATCTGGCTGTGGTGAGTGTGTTTCTCAGTCTGACCGCTAGATGTCAGTGAAGCCGCGCTGAAGTCTCGATGAGGACTGAGATTAAACAGCAAACTCAGCATTTCCTCCCTCATTTAGACAATCCTGCAGAAATAAACACATTTCAGCCTTTACTCTTGCTTTATTGTTGGACTGGTGAATTTACAGCACTTTTATTCTGGTTTCACGGCTCAATTTCTGCAATATCAGAGAGTTTTTAAAGCTATCGGCCTATTGGAGACAGTGAAAGTCAGGGAATTTCAGTCATGGAGAATAGTTTATTGTTTATTTGTCAGTTTCAGTTTGCATTTAAAAGACATTTATAGCTTTATTGTTGAGCAAATCTGCTGTGTCGAGGGTATTTTCAGCTCCATTATTGATTTGATGCTCATCAACTGGCAGTCACTGGAGTCAAATGCAGACACTGAACCTGTTAACTAAGGCTAAATATTCACTAAACCAGAGTTAATGTGTGTTTACCATGCTCAGCTGTGCTAACCCCTGATTAACTGTGCTTTTACAACACCAAACATAGTTTTACCATGGTATTTGTAGTAAAACTGTGCTGATAAAATGAGTCAATGTGGCAGAAAAACCTGCTTAGTGAAATGGACTATTAATAAAAGCTGGTGAATTGTTGTTATCAGTGAGTCTCAAACACACTCAGAAGAGCTGAAGAGTCTTAATGGAGCCTTTGTTATTATCGAGTGTCTCATCGTCATGTCTGCTCTTGAATCAGTGTTTTCAGCCTCTCATATCTTGGAGGAAATTTGCAGAGAGAACCACGCCCCCTTTGATACGCTAGAGTCACTAGACACGCCCCTCTCTGCTGATTGGCTGAAGTGTGTTTTGGGACACTGTGGTCAAAAGTGTTTGGTGAAAGTCGCTCAGAGCATCTTTAATGATCAACAGAAACACACAGTTGTCCACTATAAACTGGTGTAGTGTCAGGAAGACAAAGAGTGAGGCTGATCTGAGAGGAAGCTGCAGAAGCACAGGAAGAGCTGCTGCTGTTTAAACAAGAGCTCAACATATATATATATATATAAAGCAGAAGACGAGTGTCAGACACACAGAATGGCTGATAGGAGTCCTCTGTTTCTGCTGCTCATCTTCTGGACACTCAGCACAGGTAAACACTGTTGCATTTACTCTGATGGACATTTACATTCACTCTTAGTCTGGACACTGCACACTGCCTTTCTCTAGTACAGACTTTAATCTGCTTTATTGATTAAGAGCAAGTGTTTGATCTGTATTGATCAAGTCCTTTATTATTGATAGTGTACAGCACATCCTTTATTATTCCTGACTGCAGTGTGGCTTAATATAATGCAGAACAGGTTCATGTCAGGTGTGTGTGTGTGTGTGTGTGTGTGTGTGTGTGTGTGTGTGTGTGTGTGTGTGTGTGTGTGTGTGTGTGTGTGTGTGTGTGTGAACAGTTCTCTGATGCAGGAGAATCTTCATTCTGCTGCTGCTGCATTAGGACAGGGGAATCCTCTGATTCAGTGTGATGATTTCTGTTCTCCAATGCTTGATCATTTCAGTCATTACAGGCTTCTGATGTGCTGGAAATTATTGAAAATGCTGGAAATTTTATCAAGTGTCTTAAAGGTTTGAGAAGTGCTCACATTTCTTTAGGTAAAGTGATTAAAACCTCAATTGATTTGCTGTCATACTATGTTTTCCTACTAAATAGGTAATAGGTAACTAGTTAAATAAAATAAATAATTTTACTTCTGTTTAAAGTGTAAACTCTGGACTCTGTGCATGTGTCTGTAGTGTGGTCTGTCTGTCTGTCTGTTTTGTACCTGCACTCTTTGAGATGAAAATAAATATAAATTTATGATGTGAGATTAAGCTTTAACCCTTTGTGTTGTTGGGTGGTTTTGATCCACTCTGGCCTGATTTTTTGATAATTTGGCCACAATTTTCTGTGTTCAGCAAATGGAATGTTTAAATTCAATCCTTAATTTCCTTCAGCTTAGTCCCTTTATTTAACAGGGGTATTTTATCAACTTATCCAACATATGTTTTACGCAGCGGATGCCCTTCCAGCTGCAACCCTGGGGTCTGTTCTTCGTACGTGGATTACTCAGTTAGCTGGATTTGGATATTGACGATTTGACATGATCCAGGATCGTTTTGTTCTTCAAAGCTGATCTGAGAGTTGTTGTCATAGCAACAGTTCTGCTAGCTCAAACCTGATTGGGAGCAGGTTCAATTCATATAAACAGGATTAGATCGGCTCAGTTCAGGCAAATATAGATAGTATGTACCGAATTCTGATATTTTCTTACAGTAGTAGTTATATATACTTGGGAAAATAGTAAATATTTTTTTAAACTATATATATATATATATATATATATATATATATATATATATATATATATATATATATATATATATATATATATATATATATATATATATATATATATATATATATATATATATATATATATATATATATATATATATATATATATATATATATATATATATATATATATATATATATATATATATATATATATATATATATATATATATATATATATATATATATATATATATATATATATATATATATATATATATA